TTTGCTTTCTCTTTCACTTGGGGATAACTTGAAGGTTAGATATTAGGAGGTATATAAAGAGTCTTAAATGGTTAGGGCCATATCCTTGCTTAAAGATTTAAGAAGATATTGCACACAACCAAGTTAACAAGCATGATGTGTGTTAAAGCAGGATGTTGCTTGATGCAGCAAAATTTGACTTTTCCCTTATCATATTTGGAGACATATGCGACTTATAATATATATATCTATCTATCCTGTATGAAGTACTAGGGGGTAAGGAGACTTGATGGAGGCCTTAAGGTTAAAGGAATTGGATATTAAGATGACAAGTCACCAAGCATTAAGAAGTAGATGTCATCTTTCAATTAAAATCTGATTTTTGTACCTATCCTTGGAGGAGTTATATAACTTAAAAGAACTCAGCTATACTACGGAATGCTCATCACGACAATCTGCAGGTTTAAATTAGTTTAAGACTTGCTATGAAGTCATCCCAGCATAGTTATATAATACATTAATACTTTCCATAACAAGAATAATAGTTGTATAAATCATAGCAAATAAATACTGAAATACACACAAAAAATGTAAATAAATCATAGCAAATAAATACACTCAATACAAACAGATTCTATCTATATACATTAATACATTTACTGATAGTGAGATAGTCTGATATACATACAAAAAATGTAAATAAATACACGTGATTAGTGATTACATGAACTGATGAACACGTGATTGAGGCTCAACCGCTAGGGCTACGCCGTTGAACTCGGAAGCTGAAGGAGAATAGGAGATGTCCAGACTCCAGTGACTCCAGTCGAGCTGTCGAAGCGTAGACAGTATACTATATCAGTATATAATATATATGTATAGTGTATAGTATACATAATACATTTGTATAATTGTATTATGAGAGCCGAGAGTCGAGAGAGACAGAGAGTCCGAGAGAGACATTAGAGATACCTAGGGTTGAAGCCTTGAAGGTTGAACTTGGAAGCTGAAGAAGGATTCAAGGAGATTCGAGTAAACTGTCGAGAGTGGCGACGGGAGGGTTTTCGATTTCGCCGGTTGCCAATCCGATTTGGGGGAAAACGGGAATCAATTGACATTTGGGGGAAATTGAGTGTGGATAGTGGATCGGGTTTAGTGGTTTGGGTGGGCTACCGGGTTGAGAGTTTTGGACTAACGGGGCCTGGGCTGCGGGCTGCCATACTCTAAAAAAAAAAAAAAAAAAAAAAATTTGGGCCAACAAAACGAGGCCCCCTTGGATTTTGGGCCTGAGGCGCAAGCCTCATCCGCCTGGCCTCAGGACCGGGCCTGAGTCGGAGCCCCACTTCCATCGGCCAACACGTAGGCCTGACCGATATTTGCACAAAACTTAACCTGATTTCAGCACAAGACACTTCTGTAAAAGTTATATTCATTTTTAATGGCAATTCGTAGACTTTTTTCTGTAGTCTTCCACCCATGCAGCTATACACCTACCTGCATGCAATCTTACAAAGCCACAGAATTATTCTTCCCTTTGATATAATATTTTGAGGATACTCAGCAGTTTCCAAAATTATTAAATTCCATTTATGGATTCATTGAAATGTAAGAGTGATCTCCATCCACATTTTGGCAAACTTATAAAACCATATTAGAGTAATTAATTAATAATTGCGTCACCTTAAATTAGGTGGAGGCTATTTAAGGTAAGTCTTCCATAAACAAACCCTATTTTTCTTTTGAATTACTCATTAAATAATGCTATGGCCTTCAACATGCAAAAAGCAGACAAGTGTCTAATTTTATTTTTGTTTATTTGATAATTAATTAAATTTGATTCAGAAGAGATAAACACCAAGTTGTCTCATGAAACCCGATCAGGGAGCAGAAGTTGAAGTTTAAATTATTTAATTAATTTCAATTCATCCATCTCATTCTCAGTGCATCTTTCTAATTGCCAAGTAATTTAAATTACATCATATTATTTAATTAACAAGATAAACACACAAGTCTTCTTCTAGAATGGTGAGTACGTAAATAATAAAAGGTAACAATTCAGACAAGCAAACTATATATGGTGAAGCAATGTTTTTGACCTTTTTGAGACAGAAGATCTGAGTATGTAGATTTAAAAGAATAAATTAATATTTGACTGAAAATCATCATATTTCGTTAGCTAAACGGTGGATGGATCAATTACCGGAATTCTAACGACTTTGAATTGGATAGACTGCTACTGTAGAAAAAGCAATAAAGCATGTTATGCTACAAATCTAAATGTGGTCTAAAATAAAAGGGGCCACGCATACCTGTGGATGTGAAGGCGCAGACTTGTGTTCATTGAGTGGAGCCTTTGACTTATTATTATAGATAGAAATAATCATTTTTCACTGATATATACGTGGGTGGTCCAGAAAGCAAAATTTTGAAATTAGGCATTCAAGAGATTAACGCGTGTTTTATGACTTATTTTAGGGTATTTTTCTTTTGAAAGAATGAGAATGAAAAATATAGTTGTTACGAGCCCCACACAAGAGATAGGAATTCAAATTTGATAACTTGATGTGATGGATAACGGTCATATTTTTCATTTTAATGAGGAAATAATGGAAACCAAACAGGAACTAACCTTTCAAGTTATTTGCCAACATTTTCTACATGGGTTTGTTACACATCCACGCATGTTGATGTGCTAATTAAATCGATTATGGTCGAATGGAACTATATTTAAATATCTTCAAATTTGGTAAGCCAACGGCCATTTTAATTTTAGTTTGAAGCTTCTTGTATCTGGATTATAAGGTACTATTGAGTCATCATTGTAACTTAATTTTTCATTTCTTTATTTACTTTTGAATGTCTTAAGGTAGTCGTATCATATCATTTTAGCTATCTTACGTTGAATAAAACATTTAAAATTCAAAACCTATGATTTCGGTATCCCTTACAATGCTACCCATATTTAAAGTTAAAGCTTGTAATATTGATAGGTTTAAATTGGTATATGGTTCACGTGGTCACCATAGCAGAAGCAATTTATTATTTGATCCTTTGAAGCAAGCAATAAAACATGAAATTTTTTCTTTATAATTGGTAGAGGATGTAACAACTATTCACCAACTAATCGAGTGATCTTTTTTCCAAAACATTTTGAAATAGTCAAAACCATCAATTAGCTGCCACCTGTCACAAATTATTCAATCAAATTTGACTGTCAGCTAATCTCTTCAGCTCATGTTAACCAAGCAATTCTCTGAAGATGGCTTTTTTGAATAGGGAAATTACACAAAATTATGTTTACGACAATTGTTTAATAATATGAGATTATAATTAATCTGTTTGTACAATTATGGTTCACAATGATGGTTGACAACATTGATGTTGTCAAAATCTAAACCATTAATTTTATAAACAGATTTTGAAATGAATGGATGTGATGTTGCCAAGTATGATGATAGTCAATCAAAACTGTTAAATAAATAAATAAATAATTGAATAAGTAGCATGAGTGATGTGATTATTATGTTAGCATGCATGGGTGCGCTATTAAGCCAAAAAAAAAAATGCTTATATTTTTTAAAATTCTATTATGTTATATATATATTTTTATTTAATTTTATTCACTATAGCATAATAAATATACAACTAAAAGTATCAAAGTAACCCATTAAAATCAAACTTAATTCATCCTTAACAAGAACTATATGAAATTAAATTAGATTAAACCGTAAAATTTATACCTTCAAATGAATTTTTGAAAAATTCTTCGCGTGTTTTATCAATTTATAATTGTTTAGCACTTCGCCCCCAAAACCAAGCACACAAGAGAGAGAGAGAGAGATGAACATAGCCTAAGGGCGGTACCAAATCCTTTTGATTTCGACTCGTTCATAACACACTTCCTTCACGTCTATATATACTGATCGAGTCATCTTCTCATCAGGACTTACAACTTTCCCTTTTGGCTCTAAAGTTTTCTTCATCTTCTGAAAATCTCATTTAATTTCTTCCTTAGTAATATTCTCATTATTCAAAGTCATCAAGACCCCCGAAATTATCAATGGGAAGATCACCTTGTTGTGATAAAAATGGTGTCAAGAAAGGTCCATGGACCCCTGAGGAAGACATGAAACTCATTCAATACATTCAAGAGCACGGTGCTTGCAATTGGCGATCTCTTCCAAAAAATGCTTGTAGATATGATCAACAAGAACAATAAAAATATTTTTATGTCCTTAATTATCTTTTAGTGATTTGTAATGAAGATTGAACATTTGTGTGCAGGGCTTCAAAGATGTGGAAAAAGTTGTCGTCTTCGTTGGACAAATTATTTAAGACCTGATATCAAGAGAGGAAGATTTTCATTTGAGGAAGAAGAAACTATTATCCAGCTGCATAGTGTTCTTGGCAACAAGTAATACATAATCTCTCAATCTTTTTCTTATTAATTACCTTTCGCAAATAGAGAAATATGTTACATGTATACAAGTTTTTCTTATCTTGCGGTATTAAACCTGAATTTGTTACATTTGAGGAAGAAGAAACTATTATCCAGCTGCATAGTGTTCTTGGCAACAAGTAATACATAATCTCTCAATCTTTTTCTTATTAATTACCTTTCGCAAATAGAGAAATATGTTACATGTATACAAGTTTTTCTTATCTTGCGGTATTAAACCTGAATTTGTTTCTTCTGATGATTAAGGTGGTCTGCAATTGCTGCTCAGTTGCCCGGAAGGACAGATAATGAAATCAAGAACTACTGGAACACTCATATAAGAAAGAGACTTCTTCGAAATGGGATCGATCCGGTGACTCATGCTCCACGCCTCGATCTTTTAGATCTCTCATCACTGTTACACTTGCCACAGATAAATCTTACGAATCTACTTCGGCTTCACACCCTATTAAATCCAGAAGCCCTAAGGCTGGCAGCTAGTCTTCAGGAAAATCCTGAACTGCTATTGACAAAACTCCAGGAAAACCAATTATTCAACGCTCAGTTGCAAAACCAGACCCCCATTTTCCAAACTGACCAATTTCAAAACACTTTTGATCCAAACACCCCTCTTTGCAATCCATCCACCGATCTTCCTGTAACTGCTTCAGTTTCCAATCAGTCTCATCTCATACAAGAGAATATAGAGAAAATCTCTATGAATTCAGAAAGTTTGAGTGGCAAAACATTTCAAAACAATCCAACAACAACATTTGAAAGTGTCCCTTTTATGGAAAATTTCTACAATGGGGATTCTTACCAGATGCAGAAAGATTTATCAGAAAACATAAGATTTCAGTCCTCGAACAGCGGGAGCAATAACAGCCATAAGTTCGGTTTTGATTCAATTTTATCAACGCCTCTATCGAGCCCAAATCCTCTAAATTCAAGCTCAACATATGTCAACGGAAACACAGAAGATGAGAGAGAAAGTTATTGCAGTAACCTGTTGAAGTTTGAAATACCAGAGAGTTTAGATTTTGATGATTTCATGTAAACACTCTCATATTTCATTCCACTTGTTTTTTTAGGAAATTGTGATGGCACAATCTTTTACTTTTGTGTCCATTCTTTCCAGGTTTTTGGTTTGCTTTGTTATATAGGATCTTTTTGTAACTTTGTTTAAATATATATGTACAGGTAGTTTATTGTTTGTATATTAAATTTCTTAATATTATGAATT